GCGTAATTTTATTTAATTACGATAAAAATCTTCATTAAAAAATATTTAGTTTCAGCTTTTATGATAGTATTTTTTAAAGTTAAAATAGTGTGAGTGTTATTTATTATGGATGTTACTAAAAAATAACTTTTATATTATTAATTGCTATAAAAGGGCAAAACTGACTTAATTTTGAGCGTAGAGATGAGTTTTTAAAAATATTTTAAATGCAAATAACGAATAAAATTTTCATTAAGTGCAACCCACACGAAATACGACACATGATACTCACATTCACCACTCTGTTTAGTTCCTACTCTAAAATTTAATAGCATTAATGCCTCTTCTATACAGGTTACCATGCCAATTTTTGCTTTTTATTGTTTACCCATTCTGAGATACTAGACAAAATACAGTAGACGCCAACACACAGATACATATATATATCCTGGGAATTTTTCCATTTTTTTTTTTTCTTTCTTTCCTTTTTACTTTTTGGAGTTCAGTGCGGTCAATCCGGAGGGTCAAATTTCAGAGATTAGGTCTGGTTGACCATTAACATCCATACTGCAGCTTTACTATCAAACTTTATTTCCTCTTAAATACTAAAAACCGACGGTAAGTAAATAAAACAGCACTACAAGTAACATAACATGCAGAATAAAAAAATAATATACAATACAAATACGTAAATATATGAGCCCTCACAAGGGACTAGTACTTCTTATGAGCCCTGTATGGGACAATATGAGCCCACCTAGGAACACGTTCTACTAACCCACGCAGACCCTCTTCATACACAACACTCTGAGGCCTTTTTGTGCTCTTCTTGAGCGGTAAAGGGCCTAAAACCACAAATAAAAAAATATTACAATACTTTCCCATGTTATATAACAGCCGGGAATGTAAAAGTCACGTGCAATGAAAACTCGTGAGGATCCTAAATAAATTCGACTATAGATCCTCATTTTCCTAATTAAAGAAGCTGGAAACATACAGTTCTTAATATGAATAGTTTATAAAGTAATTCAAATAATTTTTAAATGTTTATATTTATTGATAATATAAACACTTATTAAAATAATTTTTTAAAATATTAACAGTTTACAAGCTCGTGGAATTATATCGAGAATGAAATGATACTACTCAATACATTATTCAGAATAATTCTTTCTTACAAGTTAATATTGTCTTTGAATAAGTTATATTTTAAAAGCCATAATATTTTAGAAATATAATGCTTTATCCATTTTCCATCATCTGAAATATCTTTCTTGATATATTACTTAATAAATAATTATCGTTATGGTTAAAAATTTATGTATTAATTTATATTTTAAACAAAATTTATTTTACACATTTTTTTTTATTTTTTAGGAAAATTATTTTAAAAATAATACGTTTTTAGTTTATGAATAATATTTTAAATTATATTTTGAAAAATTAATTCTTTCTATTATTTATGCATAAAATTTGTGTATTTAAATAATTTAATATTATAGAATTTTGAATTTAACTCATCTTTTATAAGTTTTTTTTATGTAATTATTTTAAAAGTAAATAAAAAGTTTGCTAATGTCTTCATCCCACATTTATTTAATCAGGAAAAAAAATATTTTTAATAATATACATTTCGAAATTTTTTGTATGCCTTTCAAGCTTACATTTGAAAAAGAAAATTCGTTACAAAATATGAGTTTAAAGTATTTTGTATAGATTTATATATATAAGAATATCGAAGAAAAGATTATTTCATGCGCGCTGCATCATCGTGTCTCAAATAAAATAACAGAAAACAAATTACAATATTTGAAATAATCGAAATTTTGGAAAAAAGGTTACTTTGATAAACAATATTTTGCTATAAATTCTCAAAATGTATTTTAAAAAACTATGTTTAAAGTAAAAATGAGCTCATTTGCATTAAAGTAATGAGTTGTTACTCGCCTATGATATTTCAGGAAAGTTTAATCGTAAAAATATTTTTTTAAGATTCACTCTTTAAAGCTTTGAAATTTTTATTTTGAGTAAATATATGTCTACCATTTTACAATTAAGAGTAATGATAATAACCATTTCAAACGTAATAGTGGTACCGAGCTACGCGACGACGCTTCTCGTTATGGATGCAACACATAATTTTAAATAAAATTAGTGAAGGTGACTTAAAATAATTAAATTAATCAATTTAATATTTTATTATCGGCTAATTATTAAATAGTATAAATTTGCAAAATCAACATTAGGGCACTATAATAAATATTTAATAATTTGTATAGTCTGTTTCCTCTAACAAAATTCTACGACANCATATTAAAAAGGAAAAAAAAACAATTTTCATATTAAATACAAATATTTTAGTTAAATTAAATTGTTTCTTTATTTTTTATTCAATATAATGAATAATTTTTTTTTATTTTGATTGATGTAATAGGTAATTTATTCGCCCTCTCTCGCTCTTTTCTGGTCAAGTTTATCTACCTAACGTAGTAGCCTACCTATTGATCATGCGTAGAAATAAAGGAAGACAGTTGCTACTCGGAACAAGTCGAAAGCTGTTAAATCTTAACCATGACTAACAGTTATACACATGATCTTCATAAAGTATCTCTTAACAATATCACATCAATGTACGTTAATGTCAGTAATGTTACCGATTATTGTACTAACGACTATTGTATCCCAGATGAAGAGTATCTTGATATGATTGAAGAATATATATTTCCAAATACGTACGAATGGGTTTTGATCGCTTTTCACATTATAGTGTTTATTGTAGGATTAATTGGTAATGCCCTCGTCTGTATATCAGTATACAGAAATCATAGCATGAGGACTGTTACCAATTATTTCATTGTCAATTTGGCCGTTGCGGATTTTTTGGTGATACTTATTTGCTTACCTCCTACTGTTCTTTGGGACGTGACAGAAACGTGGTTTTTTGGTCGAGTTATGTGTAAACTTGTCTTGTATTTACAGGTAAGCATTATGTTACATAAATGAATATTTTTATATTCTTGATATTTATATTGCTATATAGTTATATTCGATGTTTTTAAATGCACGTTTAGGAAATTTTTAGCTTTAGAAGAGTTCTTCTGTAGTTTATTTAATTGTAAATATATATAATTTTAGTAATTTATATTTAGTATACGTTGAAAATTTGTTATATAACGAACATCTTGATTAGTTGAAACAGGAAGTTTTTAAGAGTTACCCATGAATTTTAATAAGCATATTTATATAATAAGCAATTATATTCTATAATTTTATGATGTTTTTAAAATCGATAACATATTTTGCTATATTTTTAAGGTAAATAATAATAATTAGCATTATTATAAATAATATTTATTGTTATTAACATTCTAAAATATATATTTATTTCTATTTACTTTTGGGGATATGAAAATTATTTTTTCCATAAAAATAAATACATTCACTGCAAGAAAAGAAAAGCGAAAATTCTTACAATTACATTTTTAAAAATGTATTTTAAAATTCTATATTGTATATAATCTTTATTTATAGGGAATTTTTCCTGTAAGAAAGTCAGTATAATTTATTATAATTAAAATAAAAAAATAATTAATTTTTATATTTTTTAGCTAAATATTCAAATTTATATCTATTAAAATGGAGCATAAATTTTAATTTTGAATTACTTTTGTAATAAAATTAAGGACTAACATAACATAGAAATTGGACTTTTCTGGCTTTAAACTGATAAGATACAAAGAAGTTGATTATAAAAAAACAAATAATTATTTATCAACATTTTCATATATTAGTTGATTTAAATATATACTAAATATTTTAAATAATTTACGAATAATGAAATCATTTTAGTCTGGAGTTGGAAATATTAAGCATTTCTAGATGATGATAGGAAGTCCATATTTAGAATAGTCAAGTGAATGAGTTATTGACAAATCCTGAGTAGAAGAATAATGTCGATTCGCTCAAAATTACAAAAATGTTACGGTCGATTTATCATAAACAATAAAAATTTTGATTGATTCTGTAACGAAATATAACATAAAGCAGAGATTTATTAAATATTTTAACATTGAATATTTTTACAGTTCATTAAACTCTCAAACTACTTGTTGTTTGATTGAAAATTCATTATTTTCATTAATATTTTAGTTCAAGGCAAACAACTTTAATTATTTTATTCAGATATTTGACTCTTATTAGAAAGGGAATTAATCATATAACGTTAAATGTTATTACAGAAGTAATTCAGATTTATTGCTTCTTTATAAATGAACTGAATTGATATTATTAATCACTTTTTTCATTTGAATTAAGTTAATATTTTAAGGATTTTGCAAGTAAATATCAATTTTCATTTCTATTTTTTAGATGTTAAAAATTGATTTTTCTAGCTTTCAATAAAAGATGTGCTTCAATTATTGAACCGCTAGTTCAGATATAATTGCGTAAGAATGACACTTAGATGATAATTCTGTTTCTGAATGCATCATCTTATTATGTCGAGAATGATATGATATAGTCTAGATTTTTTGATTTCTGAAAAGTGCTAAATTCAAAAAATTCTGAATATTCGTTCTAAAATATTATTCGTGTTATTTTGTTTATTTTCTTAATAATAAAAATAAACTTTTATTCTATTTTATCTTCAAATAAATAGAACATTTTTAATAAAATTCTATTTATTAAAACAAAATAAAACTCGATTTTATTGGCGAATTTTTAAACCTTTTTAAAAAAGTTTTTTTTTTCAAATATTTAAGAAATTAATATTGTATATCGAAAATAATNCATATTAAAAAGGAAAAAAAAACAATTTTCATATTAAATACAAATATTTTAGTTAAATTAAATTGTTTCTTTATTTTTTATTCAATATAATGAATAATTTTTTTTTATTTTGATTGATGTAATAGGTAATTTATTCGCCCTCTCTCGCTCTTTTCTGGTCAAGTTTATCTACCTAACGTAGTAGCCTACCTATTGATCATGCGTAGAAATAAAGGAAGACAGTTGCTACTCGGAACAAGTCGAAAGCTGTTAAATCTTAACCATGACTAACAGTTATACACATGATCTTCATAAAGTATCTCTTAACAATATCACATCAATGTACGTTAATGTCAGTAATGTTACCGATTATTGTACTAACGACTATTGTATCCCAGATGAAGAGTATCTTGATATGATTGAAGAATATATATTTCCAAATACGTACGAATGGGTTTTGATCGCTTTTCACATTATAGTGTTTATTGTAGGATTAATTGGTAATGCCCTCGTCTGTATATCAGTATACAGAAATCATAGCATGAGGACTGTTACCAATTATTTCATTGTCAATTTGGCCGTTGCGGATTTTTTGGTGATACTTATTTGCTTACCTCCTACTGTTCTTTGGGACGTGACAGAAACGTGGTTTTTTGGTCGAGTTATGTGTAAACTTGTCTTGTATTTACAGGTAAGCATTATGTTACATAAATGAATATTTTTATATTCTTGATATTTATATTGCTATATAGTTATATTCGATGTTTTTAAATGCACGTTTAGGAAATTTTTAGCTTTAGAAGAGTTCTTCTGTAGTTTATTTAATTGTAAATATATATAATTTTAGTAATTTATATTTAGTATACGTTGAAAATTTGTTATATAACGAACATCTTGATTAGTTGAAACAGGAAGTTTTTAAGAGTTACCCATGAATTTTAATAAGCATATTTATATAATAAGCAATTATATTCTATAATTTTATGATGTTTTTAAAATCGATAACATATTTTGCTATATTTTTAAGGTAAATAATAATAATTAGCATTATTATAAATAATATTTATTGTTATTAACATTCTAAAATATATATTTATTTCTATTTACTTTTGGGGATATGAAAATTATTTTTTCCATAAAAATAAATACATTCACTGCAAGAAAAGANCTTATTATGTCGAGAATGATATGATATAGTCTAGATTTTTTGATTTCTGAAAAGTGCTAAATTCAAAAAATTCTGAATATTCGTTCTAAAATATTATTCGTGTTATTTTGTTTATTTTCTTAATAATAAAAATAAACTTTTATTCTATTTTATCTTCAAATAAATAGAACATTTTTAATAAAATTCTATTTATTAAAACAAAATAAAACTCGATTTTATTGGCGAATTTTTAAACCTTTTTAAAAAAGTTTTTTTTTTCAAATATTTAAGAAATTAATATTGTATATCGAAAATAATATTTTTAGAATATTTTATTAAGATTCAAATTCTGAAATATTTTGAAAAACTAAGAACTCAGATCTTTCTGATATAAATACATATACTACTAGTACATATTTGAATTTAGATATATTCTATAAAGTTTTGATTTATTCAGTTTAAATTTTGTAATTTTTCTTCAATATTAATATAAAAACTTTTATTTATAACTTGTCAGTGAATTATTATTTATATTTATCTGGCATATTTATCAATTTTATTATAGTATCGAAAATAATAAGTAAGAATTTCTTATTATAAAAAAAACAATGTTCTTATAGTAGAGTTTATAAGAAAAACAGCGAAATAAAAATTTTATCCGTTACTTTATAATCAATATTAATAATTAATACAGAGAATTAAACAATTGAGATATTTAATTATCGAGTAATAGTATGTTCTTATAGGTCCACTATTTCAAAGAAAGTTTAAGAAAAAGCCAAAAAAATCTTTTTTTTAATTTATATTTTTGTTCATTCTTAACAGTAAATCGATTTATTATTCAAATTTTTACTTTATATCCTTTCTGTAAATAGAGCAAGATCAAAAATTATTTTTCGGATCACGAACTCCTATAAATTATTATTTAAAATATAACAAATGCTAAAAAATCACTCGAATCGTCATATGTTATGCCACGATTTTTATTCTGATAATACCAACAGTGACGTTAGTCGTGATAAAAATACAATTTGTTACGTTTTTATACTCTACAAATACTGTACTCGAAAGACAGACAAACAGACGGATTACTTTTTATATATTTTACAAGTAACTTTCTTTTTAAAGGATAACTGGTTATGATTTAATTAATATTACTTGAAATGTATAGATGATTATCCTATATATTTATCACAGAGATATAAGAAATATCAAACTCTAGATTAGTAATGTATTATTATTTATTTCTAATTTATATTTATAAAATTATATCTATTCAGACGAAGCTTGACAAATACAAAAATTATATTTATATCTTAGCTTGACTAAAATTAAATTGTATTTTTATAGTTATAATTATTATTTGTTACATTTGTTTTTATTAGTTTATAAAAATATTAATTAAATACAAGTAATTATATAACATTTACAAAAACTCATAATTTTTTGAAAATTGATATTTTTTTAAACAAAAATAAATGAATAAACATTTTTTTTAATGTCAAGATAATAATATAGAAGGTATTAAGTTACTAAAAAAAGATCAATTAGATTTTATCTTTTTTTCTTTCGCATTTTTTTTTGTAGTTTTTTTATTTTTATGTCCTTCAAAGAAAAGTGGAGAAGAAAAATATAACATTTTTATACTAAAATCTGGATCAGTTTTCATAAATCATTTTAGAATTTTTCTGGGATTTTTTAGATGACTTTTCTTATTTGATTAAAAAAAATTCTTGAAAATTGAATAATATTTCTTTATTCCAGAATGGAACAGACACAAAATAATTTTTTTTTTACTTTTTAGAGTAATTAGAATCTCTATTAAATAGAATGAATATACTAGATAATTAAATTAAATAGTGAATTGTTACGAATTATTTTTTAAAAAATTATTAATGTTTCATTACTTTTACAAGTATGAAAATTTGTTATTTAAATTTTAAAAATATATATTTTAATATAATTTTTTTGACAATTCTTTAAACTTATTCTCTATATATTTCATGTGAATTATTTAACATGACACTTAGTTACTTATTTCAGAATTATTAAATGATATATAATAAAATTATTTTATACAAATTAAAATTAATGCCCTCAAATCTCATTCTCTTTTTGTTTTGCGAATGCAACAATAAAGAGAAATTAATGTGATCGTATGAAAATTTATTCATTTTATTTTTTAATAAATATAGGTAATAAGTTCGGTATAAAATATTATACAATTTTTTCAATTTTTTTTAATCTTTTCTTTCAAATTTTAAAATGATTTGTTAGTATGATATTTGCAAGTTACAAAACAAAGCTAATAAAGTAAATTTAAAAGTAAATAAATTTATTATTAATAGTCTAAATATATATACCAATTTATGTATTTACATATTCAGTATTATATAGTATAACATTTTTTTAAATATAATTACAATGTTTTATATATATTAAAATCTTAGGTTTATTTCACTTGATCATTACATCAGTAACCATGCATTTCTCTCGCTGAGATCACTAGTTTTAAGTTTAGATTTTTATCTTTGTAATTAAACGAAGTCATTGATGTGTAAAGAGGTAGCGAAAATAGGAATTATACTCTTAAGTCAAGTTTTGGATGCTTTACGTTCTTATAGATTATTGATTCTACATTAAACTAAATTTTAATAGGCCTATGCTTAGTTATTAAAAGATATGCGCCTACGCTTAAATAGGTTATTTAATAGCACTTGTATAATAATATAATTGTATTTTAATGATATTAATTATATACTATTAAATAAATTATTTATAACTTCTTAATAACCATCATAATTTTTAATAAAATTATGCAGTTTATATACTTTGTAAGATTCTTTTAATATATTTTTAAAAATAAAGTTTTGGAATGCTGTACAATTAATAAAAGAGATATAATTGTAGTTATCTTTCTAATTTTTGAAATAAAATATTTAAACTCATTATTTAATTGCATTACATAGATAATTAAATTATATAATAAATATTGATAAAATTTTTTAAATATGATTAAAATGGCATAAATCTTTGATGTAAAAATTAAGCATCATTGCTAAAAAAACTAAAATAAATATGTAATTAATCAAAATATAATTATTAAATTTCACACAATTTTTATAATAAATGACATTTTTAAATGAATTTAAAATTTTAAAGCAATATTATATTATGAATATTTTTTATGTTTACAAAAATTTGATCTTGAAATATTAATTTTTATTGATAACACCAAAGATTACGATTATTTTTGCTTAATAAATTATTAAAAGATTTATTTAAGAAAAAATTTATACATGGTTTATGCTGACGTTTCACTAACAATCATGATAAATTTAATAAATATAAAGGATAATTGAAGTTAGTTAAGATTTATTATCTTGAGATATGATTTTAAAAGAAATTAAATTAAAATTTTGGTGTACATAAGTGGTCCTTTGCCAAATTTATAAGAAAATTAGTTTAAAAATTTTATTTCTGTACTAGAGGTGTGTACTAGAGTTGATTGAAAGTTTCGTTATGATAATTTGATAAATATAAAAATGAATTTATCCGCCAATTCTGTTTAAGCCATTAATCTTTTAATGTTTAATAAATAATTCTTATCCAATTAGATTCGAAATCTTCATTAAAATTTTGAATCTAATTGGATAAGAAATTTTCTAAAACTTTCAAAAGTAATGAGTAATTAAAAGGGTTATATTCGAAGAATTTAAATTTGAAACTTACAAAATGAAATCACAAAGTTAAATAACAAAATAACAAATTCTTAAATTTTTGATAACTTTAATATGTAACAGTAAAATAAAAAACAATAGTTATTGTAAAAATTCCAGCTAAAAAGTAAATTTACAAATATCTTATCATTGCATTCTAAAAAAAAGTCCGTCTATATATCCGATATATTTTAAACTATATTTAATATTAAAACTAAAGAAAATGATAAATTATATTATAGAATTTTTCATTTCGTATAGTTTGACACAAATATCAAATAAACTGTGAGATATTTTTATCAGGTTGTTTTTAACATTCCTGTTTTTATGACCTGCTACTAAACTTTTAAAGTTCCTAAAATAATATTTGGGATACAGATAAAATGATTATTTTTATAGGAATTTAACAGAATGAAAATATTCAGCTAAAATATTTTGATTCAAAAAAAGATATATTTACAAAGATTTATCTTTTAACTTACTGAGTTGAACTTATATCAGTGGAATGTCATACTTGAAAAATGTTTTCAAAATGATGAGGATGCTAACTTATATAATCAAGTTTCTTATTGGTTTGATATAAGTTGTGAAGTTCATCATAATTCCAAAATAGCCAGAAGAATTTAAAAGTTTTTCTTGAATTTTATCTTAAAAAAAGATAAACTTTTCATCAATCAATGGTTAGAAAATTTTGTATTCGGTAAAATTCAGGGATAAAACGTGGATTTAAAAAATAGCATTCGTTAGAAGTAAAAACATAGGCTACTCATGTTTAACAATAGCTTACAATATTTTTTTATTAAATTTAAAAATATTACATCGTTA